TGACCTATGGTGCGTGTGAACCATGGCGCGCGAACACACAAGATGTATTAGTTGGCCATGTTTTGCGCATTATTCAATCACCCTGCATACTCATGATTCCTATTTTGGATGCCAGTGTGGTTCACTCTCGTTCTCATTTGTTGCGTATGTTGAGAAGGCTTTTGTGCTTTCATATCCCTTTGGTTCGGCGGGGATTCCTTTGGTATTGTGTTTGCCCACCACGCAACAAGTTTAGACCGCCCCAAGTGCGAATGCGCTCACACAAGCCGGGTTTGCGAAGACTGTGAAACTATCAGGGGAAGATCAACAAAAGCGCGTCTGAGGTTGCGATTTGTTTGTAAGCCCCAAATGGGGCAACCCCCGAAATACATGGTTTTCCGTTTCATTGTTGGCTCCCAAAAAGGGGTTCCCTCTCGTGTTAAGGCAATGTCAACTCTTGACCAAAACAGGGAGATATGTCAACCCGGATGTTCAAGAGTTGCTCCATGATACTGGACAAACTAGCTCGGTCCCAACAAAAACGAACATTTTAAGGGGCTAAGGGGCTCTCAAATTTACTATCGAGTCCCTGTGGTTTTTCCCTTCAACCACGAATAGCAGGCTAATTTTGAGGATGTCTTACTAACATGCACCCGTTGTGAGGGGGGAGTACCCATTGGGTACCCATATGAGGTTGCATATAAAACCCGTTGATTTGGGTTTAGTCTTCAGCGGTCCCTTGTGTCCAAGACAAGACAACGATCGTGGGAAGAAGGCGTATTAGCCGGAAACAACAGCTTGTTGGCTAGTAAACAACAGCTTGTTGGTTAGTTACGATAACAAAACGACGATGAAAGCGATTAAGTTTTGCACAGGAATGGCCCTCTGCACGCCTTTCCTCACAATATCCACACGTTTTCTGAGTAGAACGGCTGAACAGTTTGCAATTTTCGAGCTGGTACTGAAAAGTTGCGATGTTTGAGCTGGAGCTTCCAAAGTGTACTCCGCGTACTACGACTGAACAGTTGCGATGTTCGAGCTGGAGCTGCCGAGTTGGGGTTGAAAGCACAGAAAACACAGAACACTGCAAAATTGAGGAGTAAGAAAAAACTTAGCGTTTACCACCAACCACAAACAGAGAATCCTCATACGTCGACCGCCGCAGAGGCGGCCATGCGCGAACGCTCGCCCAACCTCATGGCTCTACGCAGCAAGGGCCTGGAGGCCGGTTCGGGCGACCAGCCGCAAGAGGGGGGTCCTCCCAAAGGAGTTTTTCCTAGAAATCACTATTTGGGGGTTCCACGTCAATCGAGTACATTACCCATCCAGATTCTTTTCAATGCCCTCGATTCAAATTTTTTGGTGTTTTAAAATCAGGTCACTTAGTCCTAAATCAAAGAGGCCACTTAAAGCCATTTAAAGGGCGCTTAAACCCTCAGGGTTGCTCTTCCCAGCAGATTCCTCCCCAGTCCGGGTGAATTAGAATGAAACTCATTGGGGGGCGGACCGACGCTGGGCAAATCGAGCCGCAGTGACACGCGAATGTCACTCACCCAGGGGTGGCCGACGCTAGCGTAAGTGACCTTCTCAAGGGGTAACTGACCTCGATTCGCACCCCCACTGACATTCAAATGACACGTTTTGACGCTCAAAACGTCATTGTCGAATCCAATGTGGCAGTTGTCACACCTCGACACGGGAGGGCACCGACACGGCCTTAAGTGCCCTCGATTCAACAACACGTCAAGTGCCCTTCATTGAAGGGCACTAAAGACACCAAAGGGGGATGAGTGGACTCACGGGATGGACTTTGCTGTAGGTCTCGATTGTTGTGCCATGTTGGCGCTGAGAGGCACCAACCAGCTATTTAGTTGTTGCTAACCTGCGAACATAGGAACGTTGGAGCCTCGCTGGGCTTAACCCTTGTTTGTTGTTGCTTCCGTGCTTAGACTGCTTGTTTTGTTTCTTTGGTGTTGTGCTACGTTAACATGTCTTGCCCAAGGGTTTCCAAACAGCAGTTGCACTTAGCATCAATCCCACTGCAGCCTCGCCCCCCCCGCCCTGAAACTGGCTCTTGTTCATTGCCATGTCCGGTCTTTGGTAGCCTGAGCTCGTTGGAAACTCCAGGGTGTGCTCAGGGAGAAGCAGGTTGGCTTTTGGCACGACTCTGTTTGGACTTGCGCCGACTTGCATGTCATCAGACCAACAATGAATATTGTGGGTGGCCCCCTGCAAGAAGATGATAGCTTTGGGGGTTCTTTCTAGTTGGCGCCTGCAGGGATAGGTACGTGACTAGTGCGCTGCAGCATGGCCCCGCATCGCGGGCCCAATATATCCCAACCTGAAAGGCACGCGTGCCAACGCATTGCGGCTGGCCTTTGGATTGCATTTTGGCTCTTGCCAGAAAAATTAGAGGCTCTTTCAGTTCACGAAGGCTCATGCTAGACCTCGAAGCTGTCCCTACCCAGTACGGCTGTCTAAGGCGCTGCACATAAGCTCAAGCGACAATCTAGAGCTTTATCAGGCTTTATCAGGCTCTATCAGCCCTTAAGGCCGAATCAGCCTCACTTATCATGAATTGACATATAGGTAATTGACACATAGGGATTTTGTAGTTGTCGTTTTTGTTTGTTTCTTTTGAGTATTAATAATTGGGGACCTTTGCTATTCTGGGGAAGGGATTGCTTTGCTTAGATAGACCCTGAGCTCATTGCGCCTGTTTATATCCTTATCATCGAGCTTAGCTCATCGCCAAGTCGACTCTTGCAAGTGCCGCCCGTTTTTTTCACACCAGCCGGCGAGGGGCTGCCCTCTACCCAGACTGGCACTGGTGCCCTTGTTCCTGTTTGCTTGCAGGGGGCGTTGCTTTAAAATCAACTACCCGTAATCCCCCCCCCCCCCGACAAAAAATAAGGAAGACCAAGAGCGCAAAATAAATAATAATGATAATAGTAATAATCATAATGATAATAAACGAATCGCAAGAACATGCATTCGTTCCGTGGCCACCGGGGTCTGGACATGTAACTCTCTAAGCTTCTGTGCTCTTGCAAGGTCCCTTTCATCAGTGCCATGTGTTTCTTGCGCACTCTAGCTTCAAAACTTGTCACACCTGAACACTTGCGACAAACACAATGCACCAAGTAGCGATTGGACAGAACGGAACTTCAGCAATCAGGTGTATCGAATTGTTGTCACACTGAGCTGGCCAAACAGCAACAGAGCTTTCCACTGCACGCTGGATTAAAGAAACGGCTCAATCAGACCTTGTACCTTCTGAAGAGCTTTCAATCGGCTAGCGGGTCTACATGAATTCAATTGGCGGTGGGCACTCTCTTTTCGAGCCCACGCGTCAAGATGTTGTTCATAACTATTGGTTATGGGCCGTGGCCCTTGGAAAGTGCTCGTCAAAGGGATGGGCTTTCATTTTCAGCAGATTCTAGTTCGTGGCAAGAGCTCCCGGTCTCAGTCCCTTCAACGTGCAGCAAATTCAACCATTTTCCATCGCACCGACAATAGGACGCACACTTGACACGTCTTGCCACTAGCTCAAACTTTGAATCGCTGTTTGCTTCAGCCCAGTGACCCCACCATCCCTATGTGAAGTTCAAGCTGACACATGGCCCATAGCCGGCTCTTGGCTTTGAAGGTGCCAAGCCCGTAGTCGGCCATAAGGATGCCATTTTCCTATTGCTACTGACCTCGTAAATAAGAGAAGTGCATGGAAGAAAGGGTTACTTGAGTTTGTTTGTCCAAAACGGGGGATGAGCATTGAGTAGAGGTGGTATTTCTTTCATAAAAGGGGGCGTGTTCCATTTCCGTTTCTGTCCGTTCAGATGCCCTGCGACCCCCCCCCCATGGGTCGAAGCCGGAGGTTCAGCTTCTACGGCTCCGCCTGGTGGAGGCTCCGATGGGAACGCTATTGGAGGGAACCGAAGTGGTGGACATGAATCTACATCTTAATGACCAAAGGGCTTGAAATCACATGGGATGTTCTGGGAGTCATTTTTGTGTTTGTGGACCTGGGGATGTGTGGAGTGGATGTGTTTGGAATCCCTGCCGTTTGTGGTTTACTAATGTTGAATCAATGTTTATCGTTTGGGTGTCCTGTCAAATCCTCGAAGCCTAGAGCAATCAACATGGTTTGGGAGTTTGGGATCTTCTTATGTCAATCTAGTTGGATGCTTATGGCCAACCCATGCGGTCGTCATTGGTGAGCAAGAAGTTGACGTTGTCTTACCGGTCCGGATTTCGGCGGCCAGCATTTTAATTTTGGAGGGCTGTTTCACTGATGCAACATCGACCGGAAGGACATGGTCTTTTGGTTTGGTGATGTTGTTGCGTGAGGCAAGTGGCCCTGACATGTTTGACGCTGAATCTGGTGAACTTGAACTTCCTGCCAAACTAGAGCACACTCCAGATTGTGCCCTCCCCCCCACCTCAGATGTTGAAGGAAGCACGTGTTTGCCCTGCCAAAAGCCATGGGTCTGTTTTGCTGAGCGCAGACATTTGGCGCCACGTCCTAGCTCTTGGCATAGATCTCGGGCGTGACGCCTAGGCGTTTTTGTTGGGCTGGCGCACGCGCCCTTCTTATGTCACTTACAGCGATGGGCACGCAAAGCCAGAAGTGGTCGGGCTGCACAGGATGTGTCGCGGAGCATCTTGCGTCAAACTTGCTGTTGACACTGGGCAATTACTACATTGCTGAAGGTAGCTTGATTTGCAGCTGCTCTGCGAGGAGAGAAAGCTGCATTGACCATACCCTGATGGTTTTATTGGAAAGTCCAGCTTGTTGTTTCTCGTCCCACGTGTTTCCAACGGTGAGGTTGTGTTTTATTACAGTTCGCAGAATTTCAGGCACGGGATGACTTCTTTTCGTGGGTTTTTTCTGGATACTCCAGCCTCGAGCCGCATGGGGGCCAGGTCCCTCTGTCTCGTCTTTGGAGCAATGGGTGCCGTTTGTGCCGACAGAGCACGAGGTGAATCTTGAATTGTCAAATTGTGCTCAAAATGATCTGGCGATGGATGATGATGATGAGGAAGAGCATTTGTTGAGGCAAAGAAGAAGGCCCGCGTCAGAGGAAGATGTAGCGGTGGGAAAAGAAGTTTCGCAGATTTCAATCTCCAGCCACTTGAGCAGCCAATCACTGCTCGTAAACCCCTCGGAGGTGAAGCAAGGAAAGGTGCTTTGCAGCACTTTGAAGAGCACAGTCTGTGTTGCCT